TCTATATTTTTCTATATTTTTATATATATATATATATTATTCTATTTAACGTCTGTTTAGTCTTCGCTTTCAGAGTTATGCAAACACTAACAACTCTAAAGAAAAACCTTGCATTTAGAAAACCCTAGGCTTACTTTGCTTAATACATGCTTCTGCAGTGTGTTTGCCCACGTTGATGTATTTGTGTCGTCCTATAAACCATTACCCTATACGCAAAGGGTCTCGATAACTGGCGCTACCAGTTAAAATTACTCCTTAGGGCGTCAGTAAAGGCCTGGCTAAACTAGAGATGGCTTTGGGACGGATCCCTTGCGGCCTGTTCTATGTTTGTAGGGCGCCCTATGTGCCGCTAGTGTTCCTTGTGTAAAGGGGATGCTACTTGTGTGCGCTTCCTTGGCCCTAGTAGTACGTTGCTCCCTTATAAGGAGGCAGAGGAGGATTAGGGTGTCCACTGTCCTGTGTTTCGCATGCTAGACGCATGCGTGTACAAAGCGATTCGGCGCCTCTAGATGCCTTCAAAGTATGCGCGGAATGAGGAGCACTCCCGGCGTTGCCATGAGCGATGCCTCTTTCCACAGTTGGCACAGGATATCCTCTCTTTAGGGCAGTCCCTCGTTGCATGGTCGCCTGCGCACTGCCCGCACCTCGCCTTCCTTCCGCACGCCTTTTGTGTGTGTCCCTATTGCTGGCAGTTAAAGCACTAGGTAGCTATTAGGGCCTGTTCAAACGGTCAGGTTTCGAATAGTTGCGCTTTAATCACAATGCTGCCCTGAATAGCACGGCGTTGCATCTCCTGAGTAGGGAACCCTATTAGTAAAGAGCCCCTGGTCTTTATATGCTTTTCGCATGCGTCTTGTATACTTATATTCTCTTATTTGTGTAACCATCTAATTCTTGTGATTTGGAGCCCTAGCGCAATTGATTTTGATGTTATATAAATAGCTGCTGCTAGCTGCGCGTTTTTTTGCGCATTTACTCTACCTTTTTTATATGCTATACGTACGCTTAGTAGAACCTTAATTACTTTTACTAAGTAGTCCTTTTTATAGATCTTAAGCTCCTCTGTAGATAGTAGACTATATACGCGGTCTTTTGTAGCTTTATTAGGGACTGTAATATTAATATTGCTGCTTTGTAGCACTTAAATAGCTGCTGCTTCTAAGATAGTCTTCTTTACTTCTTTTAGTATTTCTTTATTGTTTTTCCCTTTTGACTTAGCTAATTAGACTCATACGCTATAGCGCTAACGTAACGCAGGGGAAACACCCGCTTAACGTAGGCCAGCTGTTACTACTAACGCTTATAAGTTTTATTTTAATGATTACTTAGGGGGTATAGCTTTTTGTTGTAGCATCTTCTTAATCCGTTCTAGTTATGCCTCTATTTTCCTAGTTAGTAGCTAGCGACTTATAAGCGAAACACAGTTAATAATGCTTGCTAGCTCATCCAAATATTAGAGTCTTACCCCCTCTTTCTTAAGACTCTCCTTGATATTAGTAAGTAATTCCTCTATCTTGGTTTACATCTCTGTAGGTAGTAGTCCCTCTTTTGTATTATAGTCCTTGCTTAGAGAAATACTGTGTGTTAATTATGACCTGCTTACGTTTTGCTTACGCTTCATTAGCCTATTATTAGGCTTTAGTAGCAGCATTATTGTTACCTAAGTAAAGTTGACCTTCTAATTATGAATTTAGTAGTTATATAGCTTCTAGCTAGCTATAAAGGGTAGTTCAGTATATAAGTAAGCTAAGTTATTAAGAATTAAATAAGCAAGATTTTTAAAATAATATTATATTAAAGATATAGATTTTTATCTTCTTATAATATCTAATATAAGTAGTTGCTATAATAATAAAACTAAATAAAATCTAGATGGCAGTATAAGTAAATACGTGCGCTATATATATAAGTTACCTATGTATATCAAATCAGGGGAATTAGCTTACAAAAACTATTTAACTCTTAAGTATCTAACTTGTACTTAGACTTAAAACTAACTTTATTATTAGTAGATATAATATTATTCTATTTAAGAGACAGGACACTCTTGTACTTGTCCTCTCTTAAGATCACGTGTTACGTATATAGATATAGTGACTCGCTAGTAAGAAGAGGGAAATCCTTTAATATAGATGAATAAATAAGCGTTTATTAACCCTTATTAAGGCCTATAGTCTTTAGTATAAATAAACTTGTTAAAATCTATAGGCCTTGTTAAGGCTAGAGCCACAGGCTACTCTTAGGAATTATAGGCGAATCATCTTATATAAATGACTATATAGAATTATAAGTAGTTAAGGATACTAGTTTACTCAGAATAAGCTTGTACAAACTTGTTAAAGCGTGGCTATAAGTACATTGTATAGAGGCATCTATTAAGATGACAGGGACACAAGCTTAATTAGTAAGCAAGGAATTAGTA